TCATCGCTCATTCTCTTTCTCTAGCTGTTCGCAGTGTTCAGCAAACAGACGTTTCTCTTTGTGGAACATTCTACGTCATTCCTCGAACATTCTGCCTATTTCTCGTTGTTCGCTTCGCGTTGCCGCAGTATTCGCCACAAGATTATTTTTAAGAGTTTCACTTGCCTATCAGTTTCTTCTCGCTGCGAATATGGCAACGGTAATTTTTCGTACAAACGGAGTTTGTATCCTTTACTCTAAATTTAGTTATTTATTTATTTAGTCAACGAACAAAAAAAATTCTTACTGACTACAGGACAATGTTGCTTAGTTAGTATGTAAAAATAATCTAATAATAGGCTACGCACAGTTCTAAAAGGCTGGGAGAGCTCCAAACCAGGAACCTCGTTTAGCTCAGATAGAGCTCTGTGCAAAGGGGCAAATTTAATATAATTGTATTTTGGAATTCTTACATAAAATAGTGAGACCCGACGTAAATTTCGTATAGGAGCATTGAAAGGTAATCGTTCCAAAAGGGTAGGACAGTTGACTGAATTATTTCGAATGTTAACTACAAAATTACAGGCATGAAAGGCAAACCTACTATGCAGAGGCTTTAAGTTTAAAAGCTGACAACGCGATTCATAAGTTGGTACTGGTTCACTAAAGTTCAAGGAATGGAGTGTAAATTGTATGAAAGTTTTTTGAATACGTTCTATGCGTCTAATATGCGTAACATGGTACGGTCTCCTAATGACGGCAGCGTACTCAATTCTAGATCTTACGAAAGAGATGAACAAAATCTTCAGAGTATACGGGTCGGAAAAGGACAGACTGTTACGCTGAACAAAAGCCAGCATAGTATAAGATTTCGATACAATATAATTGATATGCGTAACGAAACTTAGTTTCGTGTCAAAAAATACCCCCAAATCCTTAACTTCAGCAACACTATTTACAGAGAATCCCGAAATATAATAACTCGTGGGTAACGGAATTAATTTTCTAGTGAAAGTAACATGAGAATATTTATTCACATTCACAGACAGACGATTTCGCGTACACCAAGATTAAATCTTATCAAGCTCCGCTTGAAGAACAATAGAATCATGTACGTCCCTAATTTTGGAGTATATCTTGAGGCCCTCCACATATAATAGAAATTTAGATGACGAGAAGCAAGAACTGACGTCATTAATGAATAAGACAAACAGCAGAGGTCCTAAAATGCTCCCTTGAGGAACCCCTGACGTCGCAATAAATGGCTCGGAGAGAAATTATCGAAAGCAACAACTCAATGCCTT